GGGGGGGGGGGGGGGGGGGGGGGACAAAAGTTTAGTTTTTGCCCCCCCCCCCAAAAAATAAATAAATAAATAAAAATTTTAGTGAAATAACTCTCCTGATGTCAATCATCTAGCAGCAATCAATATTCTGAAAGATTTTCCATATGGACTATTTTCCAATTCTGTATCTTGTTAATTATCATTATATTTGGTTCCTAATACAGTCTCCTGACATAATATTCCAAAGTTAAACCCTTACTTGTGCACTACTATTACTATTAGTAAAATGTGTTTTGACTGATTATATGTGAAATCATAACAAAATTAGAACAATATGACAACACCAGCCTCTAACGAAAATGATACTTCTCTCACTTCCAACATATATGTGCAAATATAGACACAGACCACACTTTTGACAGTTTACAACACAATCAAATCCACATACAGGAAAACAACTTCTGATTAAGCTTCAAGAAATTTTCATAACAGCCTCAGAGATAGTTAGATTATAATTTATCTACATCAAAGTAAATAAAGTTTAAGAGCCACAAGGTCATACAGTATCTAACATCAAGGTTAGTTAATACAGAAGTAGCACTCTAACTTCGTCTTTCAATTTCACACCAATTAAAATGAGCTGGTTCACTGAAGGTATAGCGTTGGCAACTTTCATCTCTTAGACATGAAAAAAAAAGGATTTATTCTGGTATTTCATGTGTATTTAGTACCAACTCTCACAGGGTTTGAGAGGATTTGTATATTAATGCAAAAAACAACAACAATCCAAGCAAAAACATCATACTTCTTTCAATATTATTACATTCCTGGAAGATTCATACTTTGAACATAGATAAAGTATCTTATTTATTTCCTTTCACCTTGTAATACTTGTGTCAACATGTAAAAATACTGCTTAAATAAAGTTGAAGCTCAGTTCATTTATAATCTCCACCAATGAGACTACGTGATGCAAATGTGTAGAAATATGTTTCTAACAGTAAAATTTTCATGATTCTACAGTTTCTCCCTAGTATTTTAAACAGAATTTTGAATACTTATCTAAAAAGTACACAAACATTACAATAACATAGCATGAAATGACTGGGTATTTTATGGTTTAACCTCATACATTTTGAATAGAGTTGTTTCAACATTTGTTTAACAACAAGTAAAAGCTTGCAATGGTCTATCTTTTCATTGGGGGGGGGGGGGGGGGGTCTGTGAGCCAGACTAGTTTCAGAGAATTCCAATCCTCATCAGTGACCCTGGATACTACCACCAATGAACTATCAGACCAAACCAAGCCTTTATAGTAGTGAGCTATCGAAAATCAAAATGGTGTATTTAAGTGTTTTACACTCACAAAAAAGAAAAATGTCATTCTATAGGTATTTAAAGAACTTGTAGCATTCCGCCACAATTTAATTCTTTGAATTGTTAGCCAACACTGGGCAGCTGTAGTACATAATTGAATAAAGTTGTTTAAACATTGTTTAATTTTATAATGCTGCAACTAGATAGCTAGAAATAGAGCTACAAGCTACATGAGGATTCTTGGTCATGAATGTAATAGAGCCCACATTAAGAAATTCACTGATCCTGACTACTGTAAACAATTTGATGATGACTACTATCAATGAACTTGAGAGAATGTTCAATTATGATCAAGAATGTGTGAATATGTGTTTTGTAAAGCTTCAAAGAATCATAAAATATTCATTGTAATACTAGTTCAAGTAATAACCTACTTATTTGAATAGTTTACATTTAAGCTATGAGAGCAACATCTGATCAAAATTATATATTTTTCAATACTTTCTAGACTGGGGGGTAAGGAAATCCCTGATGAGCCTCAATTTTTTCTTTTTCACAGTGGAAATACTTAACCAAATTGCATGAAACAAATCTAACTTACTAAACAGTATGAAGTTTTGTATTAAGAAACTTATATCATTTGATTTAGTTTATCATTTTTTATGTTGTTAAATTTCCAAAATTTTGTTCTCAAACACTGTTTGGAAAAAATATTAAAATACTTTCATTTTTCTATACCCAATCACTTTCAACTTAATTAATATTCCTTACATATTTATTTTAATATTTTATTCTGTCAATTGCAGCAGTCAACACTTCCAATTACAAATCCTAAAATACATTATAGGAACTGAAAAAGATTTATTGGTGACCTACAACTTAACCCCATAAAATGGTGTTTTTCAGACAAGGTAACAATATTTTTGCTAACAGTACTCCTGGTTAAAATTAATTCATATGTAATAAATATACCTTTTTTTCAACAAATTATAATTTATTTTATTAATGTGCATTGTTTGAACATAATACACTTAATAATACTCAATAAATAAGGATTTGAGTCACTAGAAAAATCTTGCCATCAGCTACCATACTTTCTAAACATAATACAGCTTACCTGGTATAATTACATAAAAAAAAAGTTGTAGCTTTCAAACAAATATAATTTAATAGCAAAACACTGTCAAGAACAAAAAGGAACCTCTAAAGAAATTATAAAAATTCCTAGATCTGTGGTTTGTTCCCAAGTCTTCTAAGCTTCCCACTACATTTCCCTTATTCTTCTCTACCCGAGCTAGGTTTTGTCACTTTCATATGAAACCATAATTTACTTCTCACACCACGTTATATATTCTTCATTAAAATAAATAGTTTATAAGCTGTGCTATCCAATGGTATTTAAATTTTGCCTGTAGCTATTTAAAAGCTGAGTTACATTAATAGCTGTTCAAAATACAAAAACTTCAGAGAAAGAGAAGAAAAATCACGTGAGAAACAACACTTTGAGAATTATATTCACAAGGAAAGTTGTTTTTTAGCAAATATAAACCTGTGCTTGGGATGGGCTTAAGAATTAAAAAAAACCTGTAAGTACACTGTCCACAGGGAAGTGGAAAAATATATTCAACTATCTTTTCAAATTACTTTAAGTAATTGTTACAAAAGCAAAATATTAATTCTAAAATGATTTTGAGTACAAAATTGTTGAATTAGAGTTAATATTGTTATTTGTACTTAATTTTTGAAATTTGATGTACAAAAACAGTAACAATGAGGAATACCAATTGTTTAAACTTAACAACCTTGAATTAATAAAAATTATAATGAGAAATCATAATTACAACATTTCGATTATACAGATAGTTGGAATAATCAGAAACATTAATTTCAATTACTTGACTATTTTTGTAGCATTAATTGATTATATATAATTGAGTTAATCACCAACTTTAGTTACATCAAATATGTTCCCTTGCATCAATAGTTCTTCTTTGATACTAATTATAAACTAAAAATATTTACTTCTGCCATTAACCTCTTCAACCCATCAACTTCATCTTCACCAGCATCAAGCTCCCCACCTGGTCTGTAAGAAAAAAATTATAAGAAGAAAAATTAGTGTGTGTGTGTGTGCAGATAAAATATATATATACAAAATTTTTTCTGAATGAATTTCTTATTTTTATCCATATGTATATATATATATATTACATACACTTCCTAAAGTGGTGGTTTTAATATATCAAATATACCAGGTGTTTCTTCTCCTTTTAGTTTTGAAAGAAGAACATTACAAGTTCATCAAAATTTTTTAAAATGTTCACACTTAAATGTGTTTAGCCATTATTGCTTCCATTTTATCACTAGTTTGTATCCTCCTTCCTTCAATTCAGTCAGATAAGGAACACAGATTTAACTCTAAAATACATATTTCACCTAACCTTCAGTCAGAGGCAGGTGCTACTCATACCTGTAGAAAATGAAATCAAACCATATGACCGAAGTGATATATATACAAAGATCACATTTATACAAGTTTTAAATCAATCACTGTCACACAGTACAATCTATTAATCACCTTGCATATGTCATTAGAACATTACACCATAAACACATACAAATATTTTGACTTAACAAATGGTCCAGAAATAAGCACCACTCATACAAAAAATAATAATAATAATATGCTTAAAATAACATCAAAAAACTATGTTCATACTTTTAATATAAACACACAATGAGTACTTGCTCATACATGTTCTTATGTTCATACATAAGAATAACTCACAAAACTTATCTGATGTATATAAACAAGAGTAAATTCCCAGACACAGTTTAAAGATCTTGGTCATTCACTATTAACTAATAATGTTCTGACTCTTGTATTATTTTGCAGTTACATTAATACAAATATATACATATAGCAATACATATATCTAATATTAATGATAATCTTTATTCATATACTAAATTTCCTCATGTTATTAGTATCTTCATCCATATAAGATGTTTAGGCTAATAGCAGCTGAAGTTTCATCAAGTTTTGAGCAATCTTTACTGATGTGCAAGTTCTTAGTAAATCTCATCATGATACTTTCAGCATGTCATGACCAATCTCCACCACATATCATGTTCTTGCAAATTCAAATACAAACCTCCATTAAGGTTCCTAAAACTTAAAAAAAACAAAAACAGGTTTTGTCAAGTTATTCTGAAACTCAGCTTATGTTCCAAGTTTTAATTTAGTAGCAAAATTAATGTACATAAGTTTCATAAAGTACTTAACATCCTCACTCATTAGCAGATTGCTTCAAGTTGTTATCAACCATATCAATGTATCAAGTTGCATCAGACCTGCAGTATTTTCCCATGTCTCCAGTATCTACTGAGTCCTTTCCATCCTCTATCCATTTACAACATTTCATTGAGTCCCTAGTATTCTCCATCCATGTACAGCTTTATCAAATGCTTGGAATACTATGCCCATGTATTCAGTAATATCAAACTAATTGCATTCTCCCCATTTGGACATCAAGATCTTAGTACCAAACATCACTTTCATCAATTTATTAGGATTTAAAATAATTTTTATTTAGTTTCTTCATACTAATAAGTTCAACTGATGTACAAAGTTTAACTGTGTCCTTTGTAACCTCCATCCATGTGTCAAGATTTATGAAATCCTTAAAATACTAACTCCCAAACAGGAGCCAATTATCATCAGATTCTAACACTCTCATCCAAAGGAATACATAAAGTTCTTAAACAACCTTCTTGCATGTACTATTTTCCAATAAACTTTTAGCAACTTACTCATCTACCTAATTCTTTATCATTAACTCCACCCATGCACCAAGTTTAATCATGATATCAGCAATATTTCCTATAAACATTCAGTATGGAAAAATTATTTTTACTTACAGTTTAAAAAAAGTAGTTCCAAGTTGTAGCAGAAGTACGTGAGGTAAGCCATGTTCATGAACCAAAAGGACACCTTCTACTGAATGCCTCATTCCAATTTTGTCAAATTCATCTTTCATTCTTTGGAATCTTTCAGGTACAGAACCATCTTTTTCATACAAAGGTTCTTTAGTTCCAAAAGTATAGTTTGTCAAAGGGTACCTGAAATTATATTATGTTTTACAAAGTACGAAAAAGAAGAAAAAAAGGAAGAAAATTTATTTTATTTAATACTTAAAATAGCTATTTGTCAGCAATTATTTTAAAAACATTAATGTTCTCAAAAAACTTCACCCTACTATAAATCAACAGTATACAAAAACCTATGCAACATATAATATACAGTGGTAAATTTTCCTTAAGGAATATCTAAAAAGAAAATGTTATCTAGTGCAACAATTCTCAATTTATGGTCCACAGACTGCCTTCAGATGGTCCATGGAAAGGTAGCATCATTGTAGAAAAGATGTGGCACAAGATTTAGATAGGGAAATTTAATCAATTGGCTATGAGTAGTGATAACCTCGGTTAGTATCATTTACACTAACTGATTAATTGAAAAATAGTGTTTCCAATTATTTCTGTTTTAAATTATTCCAACCATCGTTTAATCAAAATTATGATTAAATCAATTATCACAAGAATAGTCAACTAATCAAAATTAGTGTTTCTGATTATCACTGTTTTCAATTATTCCAACAATCAATTAATCTCTCGTCAAGAAACTATTCAACTACTTGAATCTAGGGTTTCTTATTATTACTATTTTTAATTATTTCACCTCTTCAAGTAATCAAATATTACTATTTTGTATGTTGTTAAGCACAAAACAACATAATAGGATAAAATTTCTTCGCTCAATTTTAGCCTTATAACTTTTTTATTTTCAAGTTTGTTGATTCAGGTGAGAGATGGGCTCCTGATTCAAGGATCTCTGGTTCAGTTTCCATTACTACCAAACTTGATCGTCTGACCATTGTTATGCTGCATTAATTTGATGCATTCTTTCATGTTTTACAATATTTCAAAATAATTTACATAAATAGACTAGCAATTTACACAAGACTTGGAAAAGTTAATTAATGCATTCAAAAATTTAATAAACATTTCTTTTTAACACTTTTCAATTGTTTTGTATAAAAAAAGTACTTAAATTTGCTTTTTATATATTATTAGCAACTTTTATAGCAAAATATTGTGAATTACAAGAATGAAAACAATGTGCAAAATAATGAGATATGTGTATTTGTACATTTTAAAAATATTTCTAACCTATAGATAATTTCTTTTTTGTACATTTATAGACAATCCCTAAAACCTAAATTCCCCCTTCTGTATCACAAATGAAGAGGCTAAAATTCTAATGAATTATCAATTGTAAGTTGAGATATGATTATATTTGTATAACAATCGACCATCAATTATTATAATAAGCAACCAACAGAGCACTTCTCCATACACTTTTCACACTTGTTAGCTCTCCTTGCCTCATTCACTGTTAACCCCATACACTACTTAGTAATATTGTCCCATCTGCTCCTCTCCCTAATTAAATGTATGGCAGTACTTGAAGCTAACAACTGGTGTTTATGTATTCTGTAAGTCAAGTATGCTCTGTTCTTTCTTTTAATGTTACTTTCATTAACAGTATTTGGTTAGGATGTTTAATATATTTCTTTCTTTTATTTCTATTATTATACTTTTATTTTAAAGATTATTTTGCAATGTTATTTTAATATATGGAGTTGCAACTATTACTTATCATCTAAGCTGGTTGAAACTCATCAGACATTACCGGGTTTATCACCAAAAGTAAACATTCTCCTACATTGAAAATGTATTTCCTGATAGATTCTTACCTCCTTTCACATAATAGTTTTCCTTGATTTGTGATGCCCTCTATATGTGCAATTTTCACTCACCACTAGCCTTGATGCTCCCACCTACTGTTACGTGTTTGCACGTAGTATAGCTGTGCTGTAGCATGCAACAATCCTCCACCAATAGGAGTGTGACACACCATCATAATGCAGCTGACTCCCTCTATACTCTAGAGTACTATGATCACTTTGAGATTAGGCAGAAAAGATGCACTAGAAGTGGGGAGAATGGGTGGGATGTGTGAGAGAATATAAGTATCTATCAGATATAAATTTTCAGTCTAGGAAAATATTAACTTCCGATATGATAATTTACCTCCATTCATATAATAGCTAGAATCCCACACTGAAATGGTGGAGGGACCAGTGCAAAAGATACCTAGACAAGTACTGTTTGGAAGGCACCCAAAGAAAATCCATGGAGTTGATACACTAATGTATAGGGTCACGCCAATGGGACCCCATCTGTACCAGGTATATTCTTTACCCATTGTAAAAACACATGTCGCTAAGTCAGTCAGTAAAGACATTTGTCTAATTTGTAACTGGACCCACCAGATGGTGTAGAGTGGTTAGAGCACATCAGACCTTATTTGGTGGATCAATTCCAGTCTAAAACCAGGCAGCATCAGGTATGTGTCTTCCAGCCCACAGTAGGAGAAAGGTCCCAACTGTCTTCATGGATCATGACCAGATTCCATTATACCACAAGTAGAAAATAATCCAATGCCCAACAAACAGCCAAGAGCTCCAAAAGATTGATGTGTTGGATAGATTTTACCACCAACCATTTATTTCCTGAGAATCCAAATATGCTCTCTATCCTGTCAGAGATGCATCAGTAAAGAGATGAAGAGGAGGGAGAAGAATGCCAGCCAAGGTGTTGTTGTTGTTGAGCCACCAGACAAAGTCAACTTGGAGGGTGGAAGGAAGAAAAATAGAGGAGTCCAAGAGATCCAGAGCAAGATTCCATTAATCAGGCAACAACCATTGAAGATAATTCATGTCCGCATGACCCCAAGGGACAGAGGATTCCTTGGAAGTCCAGGTCCCCAAAATAGAGAGAGAACCTCTTGGGCAATAATTCCTGGCTTTGGATACCAAAAGCCCCATATTCCTCAAATGTAGAGGAGAAGGCTGAGCCCTACTGAGGTAGGAGTTGAAAGAAAAACCCAGATGAATAAGATACTGAGTGGAGGTAAGGCTTAAAGTTGCCAAAAAGTCAAAGTGAACACAAAATGCAATGTAATGATCAAAAATAATTGTGAATGCCAAACTGAGAAGTGATCATAGTACTCTTAAGAGTATAGAGGGTGTCAGCTGCACTAAGAGGGCATATTGCACTTCTATTTGTGGAGGGTTGTTGAATGCTACAGTGCAGCTATACCATGGGTAAACACAGGAGAGTAGGTGGGAGCATCAAGACTAGTAGCGAGTGAAAACTGTGCATATAGAAGCCAACAAAAATCGAGGAAAGCTATTATGTGTGGTATCATATTGGAAATATTGCTAACAGTAAGAACACCTAACTGACAAAACAACACATTCTTACCATTGTAAGTATGAACATAACAAAAAATATGTAATTTGCTATATTCATCACCAATTTTATTTTATTATCTAACTATATGTAGCTTACTCTGATCAGAAGTTAATGTTAATTCCTCTTACACAGCCCTCCAGTAACCATGCCAAACATGAAGTTTGCTCAGTCAAAGCTGTTGAAACATGACCAAAGTAATTTCAACTTTATTTTCAGTAAAATTTTAATTTTTTTTTCTGTTACTTTCTCTACCATGAGTAGGACAATACAAGGATGCTCTTGCTCTGCATGTTCTCCAAAGCCAATTGTTGTGATACATTTGTCATCTGTTCTCCCAATACTGACATAGCAATGCTACATTGTCATTGGTACATGCAAACTGTTCTTTCTTACTTGATCTGGAGTAAAGAAAAGGTATGCTGTCATCCATGATACTGTTTCATATATAGGCAAAGAAGCCTATAAATATCTACCAGCACTTCACACTTTGACAGCATGAGACTCAATAAGTAGTTTATCAGAAATCATGGTAAAAAGAAAATCCTTGCCACCATCAAAGCTCTTCATAAAGACTTAGGTCTTTTGCTGAATGTAGTCTATGACACATTCAACATAAATCATAATGTTTTACTAGCTGAAAGACTCTTCTTAAGCAAGTTGTATTGTATGGTCAGCATTATGAAAATCTAGATGATTTGTGTCACTTTTTATTCACAAAGAAAGTGTTTGACAGTATCAAGCTCCCACCAACAAATTGTTGGGTTGATATACACATTCAAATGGCACACTTTCAAACATTTTTCCAGATACATACACTGCAGCCCATTTTTCATCTACCAACTCCAGTTACTAGACATTGGGAATGTGATGATTATGGCTCTCTTGTACTAGGCTTTGTCAAAGCTGAAGCAGCACCAAATTCAATTGCATGATTATTTGTGTGTGACTATCAAAGTGATGTTATGGTCAATGCTGCTGTAAGAAACATGGGATGCAGTGCACTAAGGCCTGAAAGCATAACAGTGATCATGCAAATTTACAAGTAAAAGAGGATGAACTGGATTCTGATCCTGATTCTAAAAGGAACTAGATGATTTTATAACAAATTGGGATGTGGTTAGACATTTCATTGAAAATAAAATATTTGCTGAATAACGAATGTTTCGAAGCTATTAAAGTTGAATTTTATAAAAATTGTGCAGAATGTATTAAAGGAACTGGATATTATAGACAGCTTAAGAAAATACTAGATAACCAAAAATGGATATGAAATGGTTGAACTAACAAGATTGCCAAATATGGAGTAAAAGAGAGCAATATAATTTTTATAAGTAGACAGACATTCCAGACTTTAAGATGAGAAAGAGAAACTGGCGGTTCTTCTTATCAGTGTCAAGCAGTCAAGATTTAGCTAGAGAAAACAAGGAAGTTCACAATATTGGATACCATGGCAAAAGGAAGTAACATTTAAAAAAAAGAGATAACAGAATTTATAACCGGAAGCAACAAGTGGAAGAATATATGTAAAAGGCACATACAAAGCTGGAGTAATGCAGCTTTATTTTGGAGTTAAATGGCTTGAATACTAATGTGTATTTCAGCAAATGAATAAGAAGTAATCCTGTTATGCCGAGACCAACCAATCAACATTTGGTTGTGGTTTTGTTTTCAATAGAAGACAGCAAAAATACCAGTCAGAAGGGAAAAAATCACTTGCAAAAGTTATATAGAACTTGCTTGAGAATAATAATAATTATATAGATTTTTACATATTAAAAAGATATGATTCTAGACAAAAGAGCAAATTTTCTTCAGCAATTTCCATGAGCAGATTGCTGCTGAGACTTTTGTTGAAGTTCCAGACTAATGAGATGGCTGTCTTGCAAAGTATTGAGAGCATGCATCACATAAACTCTCTACAAGTTTATGATTGATATCTCTAGTCTAATAACGTAATTTGATTACTGATGTATTATAACTGAGAAAATCTCAAGAATTAATTTAATTGAAGATTTAATGGCATTAATTGAAGTATAACTATTTCTGATGGTTCAACTAGAAGTAAGTTAATCAATAACTTATTAGATGTTGTTCAGATATTGATGAATATTTGAGCAATTGATTAATGAACAGAATAATGTTAAAGGAATTGATTTTGATGACTTTGATACAGATACATTTCTAAGTATGTTGAATTAAATGTCTTTTGTGTTGTTACATAGATTCTGAGTGAATTTCTTTATTCCGAGTGTAATTCTACTTGAGTTCGTAATGAGCCAACCTACAATTGCATAACCTAGAATTAAATAAATTTCATTTGTAACTCATGTTAACTCAAACCCAAATGGCTGTCATACAAAAACACCCATTACAAAACTATTCTTATTCATGAGCAATACTTATAATTATAGCCAATGTTCAAGTTCAAGTAGTGTTCCTTTAGGGTCTTTCCATGTCAAGCATTTCCCAGCCTAAAGAGCCCAATCCCAGCTTGACAATTATTTGATTAATGTTGCACATCTACTCAAATCAACTAATTGTAATGAATAAATCCCATTATATACAAATAATATTACATCATTCAACTAAATTAAACCACTACATCAACAAAGAGCTACTGGAAGGTATACCCCCATCTTTCAGCAGTTTTTTAAGCTCACTCCAGTGTAAAGTTTATCTTTTAAAATATTATTTCTAACTACCTTTATCCTTGTTAGTTTAAGTATCTTAGTTCAGTTAATTCAAACTCAAATAATGCACATAGAAAAACTTAGAAGTCCCTCACAAGGGAAGGATGTGCCAAATCTTAACCCCCTCGTGAAATTTCTCTAACAACCCTAATTTTAGTACTGCCACTCATTGGCATTTGAAGTCCCATAATTATTTGTTGACTAATATCTATTCCATTTCCCAAAACTTTTATACTGTGAAGTAAACAAAACTAATTTCTAGAGCCATCATTAATCATCAGTTCCCTAACTACCTAAGTTCCAGTTAAGACAGTTTTATTCTTCAGAATTATTGACTTATGGAATGAGTTGCCAACACCAATAATAGTTATACAGACACCACTTTACAAGATTTGAAGATGGAGGAATTGATCGTTTCTTGCAATAATAAAGGGTGTAAGTTTTTACTCTTTTCAAGAGTGATCATGCAGACAGCATTGAAGTACCACCTGGTCCTTTATTATCCGAATGTTAATATTATAGTTATACTATAGCAACTTCAAATTGTAACAGTCATTGCTGGTAGGCCTATTCAGTTTACAATAAATAAATAACAGCGGGACTTTCTGCTTATTCAAATGTTGCTTTCAATTATTATTAATTTCTGACATGAAATAAGACGTTATAAGTTATTTATTATAACCAAGTTCCGTAACCTTGTAATAACGACAGTATTCGTTTTAGTATTAAATTATGTATTAACGTCATTCACTCATAGTCATTGTTACTTATTCAGTTATTGTTAGTAAATAACTTAAGTAGGCCATTATTATCGTGTTGCTACTGAACACTGAAATAAAAATAATACTGCTATTACTAGTTAAGTACTATATACTATTACTACTAATATAGACTATAGGTTCGCAGTTCGCACTCAGTAGACAGAATAGTAGTCTATTCGAAATTAACTTAAAACTTAAGTTTCACTTTGTTACGTTACTCGTTAGACCTAGTACTACTGATTAACTATAAATACAGTACCACAGAATACCCTAACTTAGACATTACGATCTATAAATTACCTACAGGTTAATCGTTCTGTTTATTGTTAACGATAGAAGGTTATTGCTTTGAGCCATATATTTTCCTGTAAATTGGCTTTGAGTATTTCCCTTTGGCCAACCTGCCGCAGAGCCTCTTCCGTGTGTCGCCATGATTGTTAAAAGTAGGAAAAGGTGAACAAAAAAAGGTGGTAAATTTTATATATTTTTAACGTAAAAATATTTTTAATGTGACTTAAATCTGTAATTTCAATTTGATGTAAAGAAATAAATTATAATTTCTTTCGAGTTTATTAGTATTTTATGTATATTTCATTTTATTGTAGTTAATCAGTAATTAAAAAAATGCATTCCCCGTCTTAAACTGTCAAAATGCCGCATGCAAGGCTTCACACCGAAACATGGCAACACCTGGGATCTAAACTAAATAATAAATTAAACGTAAATAGACTTATTGTAGGTTTATACTGCTAATTACTAGTACTTATATGGTACTACAAGTACAACCTAAAATAAGTATTGGAAATGTCTGGGTTTACAGAAGCTGCTTTAGAAAAAAAACTAGCAGAATTGAATAGTTCTCAGCAGAGTATCCAAACTCTGTCACTGTGGCTAATCCATCATAGAAAGCATCATAAAACAATTATCCAAGTTTGGTTTCGTGAACTTAAAAAAGGTAAGAAACTGGCCTGTTTAATTTTGAACCTCTTAGTATTAATGGTCTTCTGGGAGTTTATACACATTTCGTTAAAGTAGAACAAAATAAATTCAGTTTTGTTTGTTCCTGTTGTGAATAAATACAGTTTTGTTGTTTGAAAAGTGAAGGCACCCTATGACTGATCTTATTTTATTTTGTTTTATTTAAATGTGATAAAGTAGGCATATAAAGTCACTGCATGATGCTTTTGTCATAAGTTCATAACTATGATTTGTCAGGGATAGTTTGCAATGAAATAGCTCATATATGGATCACCAATTGGATGTTTATCTTAGGTTACATTCACTTGTCTGGGTTTATTCTTAATAACTATGTACATTTGTCTTATATTAATAATTTTCAAGGTAAAAGTGTTTTTTATAAAATCTTCTGGTATCCTCAATAGTACTTGTGAAATATTTCATGCTTTTCAGAGTACTTCTCATTTACATGGGTTAGCATGTATGGTTTATTAAATACAAGATCACTAAACATTTATAAAATGATTGAACAATTTACAACCTTTTTCATCATTGTCCATTTTCCAGCACATGATGCTTACCAGTGCAAAAGTGAGTGAGGATGCATGAAATTGTAAGGAAGCACCTTAAGACAAAATGCTTCAGATGAACAATATTTCCCACAGTCTTGTGCCCATACCTTTAAAACAGAAATTAAAGAAAACAAAGTAAATTTAATTTCACAATAGCAAGTTTAATTTTGTAAACATATTGGAATAAATTTATCGAAGTAAATTTGGTTATTCTGAGGGATTTGCAATTGTGAGACAGGTATGTCAGAAAATTTTACCATGCCATTCTGCAGTAATTTTTTCTGATTGCTAATAAAAAAATATTGAATTCAAGATGTGAAATTATAAAAGTGCATTGGAATATAACTACAGAGGTAATGTTTAGTTATTTTAAAGCATTTTCAATTTTTTAAGCAGTTGTAAAACATATGCTAGAAAATCTTTTGCCTTTTTTGTGACATCATTATTTTTTATTGTAATTAACAACTATTTTTTCTTGAGCAGCAAAACCAAACCGGAAGTTGACAATGATGTATTTAGCTAATGATGTGATACAAAATAGCAAGAAGAAAGGACCAGAATTTTCAAAAGAATTTTTATCTGTTCTCTGTAAAGCTTTTCATAATGTGACTCTGTGAGTAATCCAAGTACTTAAAAATATTATTTGTTGGTTCCCATTATCTTGTATCTAGTTTTCATTTACAAAGTAACAGTACACAACATTCGAAATCAGGGTTGGCTTACACAGATGCTCAATAAGGCACTATTTGTGGTAAATTATTAGATTTTTTTAGCAACAAGTGTTAAATTTATGTAACCACCAAATCAATTTAAATTTAGTTCCTCAGTAGTGTAACCAATTAGCAAGGTGGACATGTGTTGCAGCTTAAATTGACACTGCATCTGACAATGGTTTAGGGAGTTCAACTAGTTGTAGTGCTTCGTTTTTAAGTTGTGAAAGAACATTTGTGATAAAATATAACCACCCAGTACATGTTTCAAGTATACAATAAATTTATGTTTCGTAAGTTTATACACAAAATTGTGAAGCATTAGGACTTTTTTCTTAGTTGTTATGACAAATGTTGTTATTAGTAGTGGTTTGAAATAAGCCTTTTTATTAACTTTGTTCTTGTTATTACCAATTTGTTTTGTTCTCATAAGAAATAACCATAAGCCATTGTCAAAAGGCCATTTGACCCATGGAGGTAACCCCTCAATCAAATTTGTAGCACATTGCATCTAAACTTCCAAAGTTGAAGTATACTACTCATAAACTTCAAGCTATTATTTTCAATCTTTTCGTTTGACTACTGAAATATATCAGTCATGAAAGTATTTAAGTTCCTAAATTTTAAACACTGGATAGTTTCTGCACTTTAAGAAACACAAGACTAAAATTTTTAGCTTCTCCTTGAAGCTTAAATGGCTTCAACCTAATATCATTCTAGTAACCCATCTCTTTATACTTTCAACATGTTGATAAAACATTTTTTAGTTTTGAGAAATGTAAAGTTATGCTCTTAGTGTAAAAAATATTGAGAATGGACTTGCATCTATTGGGAAAACCTAATTGATGTTTCAGAAATGATACTCATATCTCTGCATAACAAATGGCTGAATTGATTTTTTGTAAAGATAAATGTCTTGAATGAATCACCTCTACCCATTTTAATATGTATTGCACCAGCCTATAGTGTAATTATCATTAGACTATAGCCCTCCACCAGTAGGAAGATGAAACATCCTCCTTTTGCAGTAATCCCCATGAACACTAACATTTGAACAAAGGTGCATTCTTTCCTTGTCAATGCTTATCTTTAGACATGCTTTAAATTGCATCTTTTTTTTATAAACTTTAGCAGGATTTTGTGCGTGACTTTTGATCTTTTATTTTCAGTTTAACTTTATTGTACCAACTTATCTTGGTTGTACTCTCATGCTTTTATTGTGAGTTTGCTTTCTTTCTATTCACACAATAATAAAAAAATGTTTTTGTTAATTTTTTCATTTGACCATTAATTCTTAGATCCACATTTCTGCTACTTCCTGAGTTCCAGACATTCCATTTAAGGACTGTAGTTTTAATGGTGACTGGAGACACTCTTGACAGCCAATGATGTTATTGTCATTAAATATCAGATGGTTGGTTCTCTTCTGCTTTCTTTATCTCAGTCCCAGGGTTCTCATCCTTCTGCTTCTGTTACTTCCACTGAGCCTGCCTCATTGTTTGACAACCTCAATCAGCTGTTCTCACTGCCTCACTTTGTTTCTTGTTCTTCTCTTTCTGATGAGTAACAGGTACCTCCACAAACATTATTTGCTGCTTTGGTTTCTCAGGTTTGTGACACTCTTTCTCCGATTGTTTTTTATGAGTCTTGGGTTGTATTACTCCATAATTCTCCTTATTCTGATTATCTTTTCTTTTCCCTTCCAGGACATTTGTCTTTGTGCTGATACTTTTTTGCCACAACTTTACACTGACCTGCATCACCCTTGCCCTTCCTGCCTTTGTTATACTTATTCTATGGCCTATCATCACAATCCATGTACTATTTTCAATTCTCAGTCTCTCCTTCCTGCTTGAGATTTCCCCTTTCTTCTTTGTCTCTTTCTCAGCCTCAATCTTTTGGTCTTCATCTTGCTCTTACCAACTTATATTTGTCTAAATTTCACCTTCTATCCAAGGCTTTCCATCACGATTCCAACAGTTTCAAGAGAAATACTTATTCTTATCTGTTCTCAAACATGACTTCTTGTTCTTAGCATTTGCATAACTGGGATGCATTACTTTCACGTGTTCTGCTTCCTCAGTCTTGTCTATGGAACATCTGTCTTGCTCATTTTCTTAGTACTGAAGTCTTTGGAAAAGTTACTTACACCTTGGAAACTCATGCTGAGGCTGCTTATCGTTTTTGGTTTCTGCATTCCTGATCCTAAAGTCCATCAACAGGAGTCACATTGGGTTACCCTTTCTCATATTCTTTGTCCCATTGCTCTGTTTTGATGTCCTCTTCTTACAGGACTAGCCATAAAAGATCATGGAGATGACTTGCTAGAGCAGATGCCTCTTGGCTCCTGTCCATTAGGATTTTAGTTCTCTCTCTTTACACACTTGTGGGTTCCATTTGTCAGCAATCTTTGAATCACATAGGTGCTTTCTCATGGCCTGTACTTGTGTTTCTATACTCAACCTACCTTTTCTTCTACATCTGTTTTCTTTCCACCCCCACCAACCAAATTTCTGTATTCCTTCAGGACTTCTCTACAGGCTATCCATGAGCTATGTTCGCCACCCCCTCAGGATTTCTATTCTCATCATTCTCTTTTTGTATTTGTCATTTACAAAAATACCAGAGATTGATACACTGTCATTAATCTTTCATCTTGAATCACCTTAATACAAGATGGGTGGCTTTCTCAGTCTGAGGTGAGTATTCCCTCCTAGGTTGTGAATAACCAAATTCAGTGTTACAGATGCCTTACTCAACATCACAATTTGTCTGTCCATCTGTTGATTTTTTTCTGGTTTGTTCACAACCATCAAGTTTATCTGTTCTAAGCCCTTCCCTTTGGGTTAGCCATGATTCCATATGTTTTCAGTTGGATAATGAGAGCATTTGCATGGCTGATGCACTTCTTAGGTCTCCTCTTCAATTATTATATAGATAACTGGCTTTTTCTTGTTCAGTCAAGCTCTGCAACAACAAATGTCCTTCTCTTTTGGGAGGCATCTCGTTTGGGTTGGGTGGTTAAATGTTCCAAATCCACCTTCACTCACACTCAGTATTTAGTTCATCAGGGGTTTTTCAATTTGCATGTGAGGTGGTCTCAGCCCTCTCCTTTATATCTTTGCTTCATGGAATTTTGATTTCCAAGGCTCTCATGTCATTTTCCTGTGTGAGAGATTCTTTCAACTTTGTGGACTCTGGCTCTGTTTGAGTCTCTTGTTCTCTTCATGTGCAGTCATATGCATCCCCTTCATTTCACCCAGACCAATTAATGGAATATGTTCAGGGATTCTCTATCATTTCCTGTGACTTTCCTCCATCTCTTTACCTCTTGCTGTCATGGTGGCTCAATCTTTCTTACATTACACTGTGTGTCCTTCTTCTTCCTCCTCCTTGCAAGATGTCCATCTCTTCACTGATGCCTCTTTTTCCAGGTGAGAGGGATTCTGGACACCTACACCCTTTCAAGAGTTTAGTCTACAGAAGATTAATCTTTACTTATGAATATCATAGAGCTGTTGATTGCTCAGCATGCTTGCCAGCATCTTCAGTCATAGTTGTCTGGTCGTCTCTTAATGATTCATTCAGATAATTTCATGATCATGTCTTATATATATCACTCAACAGAGTAACAATTGTTCTCAGAACTTCCAGCGGTAAGTCTTCAGGTTTACAATGTTAAAATCAGGGGTTCGATTCCCCTCGGTGGACACAGAAGATAACTGATGTGGCTTTGCTATAACAAAACACACTCAGAACCTCTGCTTTCTTACTCTGAAATATCAAATTCTTTCTTTGTGCATATCTTTTCCATCAACTGTTTCCTAGTGTTCTGTTCTTTAATGATGACACCTACTGCTGAGTTTTTCTCATTGTTTCTTTTTCACCAGCCCAATATTAATTTCCCTCTTATGCACCACTTGATGTCTAAGTAGAACCTTCCTTCCTTCCTTCATGACAGGGTTCACATCTTCAACTTCACATGTGGAATTTGTTCAATCCCTTGCACAACAATTGGGTTTTTCTCAGAAAGTAGTCTATTTTTCTGCGCCATTTTTGCTTAACTTTCAATCTTTCACTTTATCAGTATAAGTAAATAGTTTACTGCCACTGGTCCATTCACCACTCCCTTCCTCCAGGTCACCTACTTTTCCTTATCTCTTTCTTTATCTGGCTTTTTGACAGATGTTTATCCATGTCCATGGTTTTCAATTATATGGCAGATTTGTCTACAACCTTCTGTTTTGACCATTTCCCTTTCCTCTCTTTGATATTCACTGATCTATTTCATGTGTTTCTCTTCAATCATCCTCACCTGGTCATTCTTCTTCTGAACAGGTGCATTTGCTGTTCTTCAGGCACTTGAACTTTTAGCCACTTATCCATGTATTATCTTTCCTTAAAGCATATTTTCTCCTTCTTGCTTGCAGGAGATGATACTCTAACATTTAATGTTTTGGATGCTTCTTGTACACTTTATCAAAGCGATAAGTTGATTTTATTCCCAGACCATTCCTTTCTCCCCAAGACTTGAGCTGCCAGGAATGGTGATCAGATGTTTTGTTCTATCACTCTCCTTTCCATTTCTTCTTTATACAGTCATTCTGACCCCATTCATCTTGTGTGTCCTGTTTGGTGCTATCTTGCTCGAACTACTCCACTCTCTTGTCTTTTTTGCCATGAGATACTTCATCTTCTTGGAACTTGTCACCTAGTACTTTGACTGGTTGTGCTTATCAATTCATCTGATTTGCTCATTCTTCTTCAGGAGAGTATACCTTTCAACTTTATCAGATAACCTCCTGTCAGATTTGTCATATCATAGCTTCTCTCACCTTTCGTCAATATCATCCCTTGGATAAGATTCTGTAGGCCAGAATGTAAACAGTGCCTAATTACTTTTTTGTCCCATTACTTTCATCACATAGTAATTGCATCTGCATCTGAGTTTCGTCTCTCTCCAGTTGCCATTCTAGTTTATCCACCAAAGATTCTAGTGTGGTGAATAGTATTATTTGTTTTTGTTTTGTATTCTTTTTAATCACAATCTTTATACCTTAATTTATATCACCATGGGATGATGGAACCCAATGCATGTCATGGTGTTGCCTCACTGGGAATACTTGCCTCCCAAAATCTGCATTGAGTAGGGAAGAACAGAAAGTCTACCAACTGTGGAGATGAGGTTTTCCGTAAGCCTTCTTCAACAGTATGTATATATATTTTCTCTTCCAAGCCATTCTAACATGGGGAAAAGAAACATGACAGCACAATGTGTGACTGCCTACACACCTAGGTAGTTATTGCTGTCTTTAATAGCAGTAACCCATTACACATTCTCTTATGGGACCTAGGCAGATGATGATTTCTTTATTGGTCTGAGCACCTCTCCAGTGTTCTCTCCAATCTAAATTTATCCTTCCTGTTTTCTTGTAGTGGAGCAGAGGAAGAAACCTTGCTTCCCCACTCCCCAGCCATTGAGGAGGTCAGTATGAAGAGTTCCCCATTGGGACAGTGCATTCCCACTGTTATGAGATTGAGTGAACCTACCCCTCAATGGGAAGTAAGGCTAAGTTGTTCCTGATAGTGTAGTACAGACCACCTTACCATTATGAACCAAACCATTCCCAGTGGTTAGTCCAGCTGGATGAGTCATGAGTTCTCCTCAGGAAACAGGAATGTTCAAATGCTAGTTCTCCTGGGTTTTACTGTACTTTGAGAATGTGTTGCCCTTCTAATCAGGAATCAAGTCAGACTCCCAAAACACAGAGAAGTCACTTTTCCCTCCAGGTGCTAAGAGGGAGAAGTTTTTGAAAAGAGGGAGACTTCACATTTCTGTCTCAAATGCATTCACAACTTGAAAACACCATTTAATAAAAGAAATGTTGTTTAGGGGTTAATTAATTATTTCCATTATATGTGTGTTTGTGTGTATATATACTGTTTGAAGCATTAAATAATGAGGATTGTATTTTCTTTTTAATTTAAAAACGTTCTTCTTCAGAATCTAAAAAAATATTTTATTTCATTTTTACAATTTGAATCAATAAAATAATATATGATCATTCAAAATAATGTAAACTCATTTTCTAAATTCACTGCATTTTCATTTCCTTTCTTTTTTATTTTATTTTAATTTTTTTTCACATATGTTTTGAATGCCAGTCATTATTTGTAGTCTTTGCAGCATTTTCATGCCTGTAAGCATATGCATTCCTTTTTCATACATCTTTAAAAATTGAGCAGTACCAAAATCACTTGGTATCTTATACATATCAACTGAAGTCATTCGCATTCAAAACTTTGTGAAATGTTTTTGGTTTTTTATTCTCTAATCTTTCGTCAGCCCTTCATTTTAGACCAGAATTTGACTTAGATTTTCAAAAGGTTTTATGCCTAAACAATTTACTATAGTCATTCTGAGTGAATGAAGAATACCTTGTGGGCAGCAAAATAAAAGTTTTAACTTTATTGCATGCTTAAAATACAGTTAAACCTGTAAATTAATGTGTGAAAGCAATTTCAAATGATACCTCTTTATGGTACATACTTCACGTAATTAATGATTACCTCCTATGGCAAACAATCCAATCAAAAATATGGCAATCTGTGTGCTGAAAAAAAACACATGACTCCTTTCCCAATCATCATTAACACCCTTCTGTAATTCACTGATAATAATGAATCCAGTTTTGTCTATCAATGTAATATACTGTCATATTTGTTTCTGACACAGACTTTCAATTACCATCACTATGCATGTAATTAATAGTGACATATTTTCACTGGGGAGATCAGATTGAGTGAAGTGACTGGCTTATGCATACCAAGTTTTGAGAATATGGATAAGTCTCAGTAATTTGATTGGCTAATATAGAGAATTTGGAAACCAAGTATGTGGTGGTACTGTTTGTCGCTAGGTGATCCACAGCTAGAAAATGAAGGCAACTCAAATGTCGCATCAAGCGAAAATAAGAAAAGTTAGAACTTTAAAGTTGAATTTAAAGTCACTTTGCCTATTGGTAGAGGACTATAATGTAATGATGCTTACATCATAAGCTGGCACAATGCCTGTTAACATATGTAGGAGTAAGAGCTTTGTTCAAGTCGTGTTGCTTGGGCAAAAAATCTTTACAGCAGTAGATGAGATAATAGCCATTTGTTGTACAGAGATATGAGTATTTATCTGAAGTGCATTTTCAGGTAAGTTGCACATATGTATAAACTGAGTAGCCATATCAATAAAGATATTTTATTTTGTTTTTAGTTATTTTTAGTCAGTTTGTGACTTATCTAATAATACTAATTACAAAAATTATCTTTAAATTATTAATTATGATGTTTAAAAGTGACCCAGATGAAAAGACTATTGTTGGTGTTCAGAAAATTTTGAAAGTGTGGGAAGACAGAAATGTTTACAGTGGGAGTGACATTGAAGAATTCCGTAAAGCCACTCATCATACTGACCACATTGGGAATACTGGTAGGTGCTACTTAAAATACTAAGTAATTTTAGAATACTTGTTATCATTTCATTTTATAGTTCCCCACAATACTTTGAAGGAGAAACAAATCATGTTCTTAATTATATCTTGTATGTTAAAAGTAGTAAACACTGATGAATTACTTCACAGAGAGATTTCATATTATTAAACGTCATTGAACATTATTCGAGCAGTTGCTTTGCATCAAGCCTTAAATACCCCCTAATTAAATAGTATAAAACAAGCTGGATTACAAAGGATAAAAAACATACATTTATAAAAAATAATCACCCCCATCAAAAATAAAATTCTGTATCTCAGTGAGTAAATATAACAAAATTCAAGTCAGGTAGATTTAAGCCTGAAATACTACAAGGTTCTAAATGTCCATGACACGATGTAGAGTATGCATCAACTTATCCAGAATTCCCTATTCTCCCACCTTCCACGTAACTTATTGCACATGTATCAACAGAATGCTTTCTCACCATAATTCAGAATTTTTAATTGTTGTCATGATGATAAACCACATATCTCCTGGTTGTGTGTGTGTGTGTGTGTGTGAGGGGGGGGGTGAATATACTTCAGAGATAAGTAGTTGTTTAAGATTAAATTTAATTATAAAAATGAAAAATTCAAATCAGACAGACTTCCTTCTAAAGTACAAAAAAGCCAGAATACCCACATTGAAATGGAGGAGAGAACTGGAGATAGTCATAAGGACCACTGGTTCACCAAAAGTTGGACTCTAAGGCTGAAAAGTAACAGTCTAGACTCTAGACAACTACAAACTAAATTATGTGATCAAGTGAAGTTTGAGTAGAACAGAACCAGGGTAAAAGTCACTATACTATTTTATTTGTGTTTTATACTTGGTTGACTACAATTGACTTTGGAAGACCAACTTGCTTTCTATCATCCATTTTCTTGATGACATATGGTGTATCGTATTCCCTCCTACATATCTTTCTTTGCTATTTTAAATACAATTGTGTTAGAAATTTTATGCTTCCAATAACAGTTAGGTTCTAGCATGTTAGTCATCTGCTTCTGTAGAAACAGACTTACATCTGGTGAATCTCTAGTAGGAGATGAAGAATCTGGATCCTTTTCTTCAAAGCCTGGTTTTATTTTCTTGAGTGGAGGTTCTGTTTCTACATATATTTGATAAGAATTTAACCCATTAACATAAAAACATACTTGTATTCTGCCAACCCACATTAAAATTATTGTATTTTTAACTAACTGGAAATAAGAGAGTTATAAATTCCAAAATTTTTTAATTTGTTTTTAACATTCAATAAATACTTTTTATATTTATATGTGTTGTGTGTAATAACATGAGCTTTGCACAAGAAGTTAATTTTTGTAAATATATTAAAAATAACAAGGTAACTAATAAATGTCTACATGTGACTGTAATATGATCCAGTTTATTTCCATTCAAAAGAGTGGGAAAAATTCTATGATATTTGCACTTTATACCCATTTTATTCACTGTTTCCATAATTATTTCCAACACTGTATCTTTAAATGATGCATTCAGCTGGCAACATTCAACAATGGTAAGCTATCAACAACTGCACAACCAAATTTCTGTTCACACATTATGAAATGATAAGATCTAAACATGTTTACTCAGCACTTGGTTTACACTGTTATAGGTTATCATCAAACCATGTCATGCTAGCATAATGCCTATAAAAATACAGGTTGTCATACTATTCCCAGCAGTAATATGGTGAATGCACTCATGATTCTCAGGACATAAATTGCATATGACAAAAGTATAGAAATCAAAGTGTTGGCTGGTGAAAGCTAAAGGCTACTTTATGTAGCAGATAGATGCAAAATTCCGATATAGTAAATTACCTCCTCTCACATATATAGCTATTCTTGTTCAGTTCTGCCCTCTATATGCAAAAATTGTTTTGCATTCCACAAGCCGTGTACTCCCACATACCCAATGATTATTATGGTTAAACTGAGTCTCACATACAAATCATCATGCAACAACTCTCCACCAATAGGAGTGCGACACACCCTCCTGACACATGTGACTCCCTCTATTTGAGTCTACTGAACTATCATTTCTCATTAGGCAGTGCAATAGTCAAGACATGTTTTGTTTGTACTCTCATCATTCGTTTCTCTCTTTGATATTATCATTTGTATCTTTTACTACTGTTTTATTTTTTACAGTTTTCAGTGATAACTTACTTTAGATGTTGTTCTTTTCTATTTGAATAATTTTCAAATTTATATCATTTTATGTTGAATACCAAAGTTAATGTTACCACTACAGATATTCTTCAACCTGCTATCAGCAAAATTACACAGGCTTCAGGTCTGGGCAACAAGACTGAGGAATTGTTCTGCCTTAATTCATCAGCTGTTTGTGGTACTCCATTGTAAAGGACTCAATTGTAAAACGAGGAAGATTCAGAAATTGATGGAGGCGGGTCAAATCCATTACAGGATGCCAGTTTTTTTGGGTACCACAAACAGCCTAGAGTAAAAGCTTGGGGAAGAATGGCTGACAGGCTTATTAGCAATCTTACCATATAAACACCTTAGAGCTTCTGGTAGTACAATGAGCTTTTGATCACTTTCTTCCTACAGTCAGGAATTGACTTATCGTGATCCATTCCGACAGTTCTACAGTGGTAGCTTATATCAACCATTAAGGTGGCACCCTTTCTCATTCCCTTTGTGGTCAAACTTTAGATTTACTTTTTTAAGCCCACACGCTTGGGATAAGTCTCCAGGTATATCATATTCTGGATGTTTTCAACCTCATGGTGGATCATCTTTCTAAACCAGACAAAATATATCCCACAGAGTGGTCCCTCAGTCTTCAGGTTTTCCAGTGGCTATGCTCACAGTGGGGTACTCCTCAGCTGGATGCATTTGCCAATATTCTCATTTTTTTTGTCTCTGGTTCCTCATCCGTGAGCCCTAGCTGTTGATGCATTCAGCCAGGATTGGATCGACCAATACCTTTATCTTTATCCTCAATCTGTCTTCTTCCCTGGGTGATTTTGATCATCCATGCTCCTTACTGAATGGCACAACCCTGGGTTCCTCAACTACATAAACTCTGTACTGCCCCTCCATTGCCTCTTCCTCTCCCTCCATCCCTTCTACATCAACCTTTGTCACTGGTATTTCATCCAGCCCTTCTTATCCTCCATCTTTATGCCTGGCATTTATCTGGTCCATGGTGAGGATATCCAGATTATCTTGGCAGGTTGCTTTCTTTTTATCTTGTTCTGTTAGCCATTCCTCTTTGGTGGTTTATCAACACAAATGGAACATCTTCTGCCATTGGTCTTTGAATCTGGGTTTTTCTCCTTCTTGACCCACCATTCTTCTTATTACAGATTTCCTCACTTAGCTGTTCAGTCATGGAACTTTGGTCTCTTCCATCATTTGATATCGAGCAGCCTTATCCCACACCTTCAGTTTTTCCTGTTACCATTTTGTGTTTATCTCCCATACCTCTCCCTTTTGTTGCATTCCTTCTGGATTCATAAATCTCCTCATCAAGTGGTCCTTCCAGATTGGGATGTCAATGTGGTTCTTCATTGCCTTACACTACTTCCATTTGAACCTTCTTCGTCCTCCTGTTCTTTGTTTCACGTTTACCCTATGGTCTATTTCCTACTCATGTTAGCCTGTGGGCTTCATTGGTCTAATATGTTTGCCATTAACATCTCATGCACTCTGTACCATTCCACATGTTTTCCTTTATCTGGATCAGTTTTTCCTTCCCAAGAATTTTTGCAGCTTGTGAAGGTAATTCTTCCTTTTCTCTAATTTCACTTCCTCTCATCTTCCACTTTTATTCCTGATCCAGATAGGTTTCTATGTCTTGTACAAGCTCTTCATTGTTACATTGCCCATCCAATTTCCAAAAGGTGGTTCTCATTCCCACCTTTTTATCCCCTGTCAACATTCCTCTGTTCATGACCTTTCTCCTTCAACACTTACCATTTGGGTTTGGCTTTTATTGGTTTATTCCTTTTTATTGTCTCCTTCTTCCTAAAATCTGTTCCAGTTGTCATCACATCAGATCACGTACCTTACCTTTTCCTTGGCCTCTTACCTCCCTCATCCATTGGAGGAAATTCTTCATGTGAGCATATGGACAACTCCTCAAATCTTCATCTCCCACTATCTGCATTGGGTAGCTGTTTTCTTCCTTATCAGGGTACCATCTTCTACCTGTCACCATCTTTCAAGCTTTGGTGAGACTGTGACTGAGTAAGTTGTCTTTTTATATTCATTTTAATTTCTTTCAAAGCATGTCCCTTTTTTTAACTGTCAGGATCCTGTCCAGGTATACTTAATATATCACAAATATGCACTATACATCCATGATGCTATCATAAAATACATAAAATATTCCCATGGCCAACAATGCATACTATTGAGATGAGGTGTTCCACAAGATTGCTTGTAGGTTTTCCTCATGATATATTTGCTTTATTGATATGCCCATTCCAGCCCATACTAACCCATGGGCTTACATGGGTGAAGCAGAAGGGGATAGCTGCCCATCCCTGCCATTCCTTAGATTGAATAAATCAGGACAATCAGGATTTTCATGGTCACTCATTGCACTGTCTCTGCTGCATTTTATTCCTCTTGAGAGTGCAGTTGCATATGATTTATAGGAGCAATCCACTTCCATGCAGTGGTATCTGAAAGTTCGCATTGTGCTCCAATGCTATACGGCACTGTCTGAGGAGATGATGTTGCTTTGGAGTTGATCTGTCACATTGCAGTTCAACCCTTTGATTGGGATCCCTCATCCTACCATCACATGGATATTGGCTTCCCGGGACTAATTTTGGATTTAGAGCAGGACCAATAAATATATGTCCTCACATATGTGTTGCATGTGTTTTTCCTATTCCTCACTCAATTTGCCACTGGATCACACAAAACAAGGGAGTTTGTATTGAATGAAGTGATGGTTCTCCCTCTGGCACTC